AGTCAAAGAATGTGAAATGAGTTTCTCATTTAACAGTTTATAGTTTTATGTGAAAGATATAGCGTTTGTCAGAACTGATGCCACATGTGGACATGCGTTGTTTAAAAATAAGTGCTCGAATTGTCTTGTATGTTTCACATATTCTTCACTCATCATGCAGAGGTTGTTAAAGTTGCTACGTAAGTTTCTTTGCAGCACCATTGGTTTCTTCCATTGCGAATGCCAATGGTGTTTTTCTTTTCGTACTGATTCACGAAATGTTGCTTGTTTTCCTCGACTGTTGGAAAATTTTCTCTGAACGCTACCGTGCAACGTCAGCGAGCGGTGGACAGTATGTTCTCGCGCTACGCGAAATGCCATGGTCGCGTGCTAAAAGTTGCTTGGCTGCCTTTATGTTGCTGTCCGCATTTTCATAAGTTCTTCTGTGTCTTCTGCCTTGCTCAATCTGGATCGCGGCAGTTCCTTTCCACCAAAACAGGGTCATTTTTGTTTGCAGAAGTAGCAACCCGTTAGAACATTATGAGCAAAAGTTGAGGCACTACGAAGAAAATGGTGAGTGCTGCAATATTCATTCATTTTAATGTTCTTTCATATTGTTTCCTCTACCTGTGTGTGTTTGTGTTTCCTGCATGCCCCTTGTAGCTGCATGTCTGCATCTCGGTTTTATTTTATCTGCTTGTCAGATTGTTAGTAACCTGTGTGCTTGCCTAAGTATTCATGCAAGAGCATTTTGTGCATGCGTCTGTCATTGTTACTTTTCTGTCCTAGCCTATTTTTTTCTAAATTTTAAATATTGCCTGTGTAAATAAAAATAAATATGTGGGAAATAAATAAATGAGCACTCTCATTATGTGCAAACACTCACGACGCCTGAAATGCTTTCTTATTTTTTGGCAATTATATGATCATGATTGCCATGCCATTATCTTAAAGCAAGAAAAGCATTTATGACCATGATCTTTATAATAAGGAAAATGTCATGATACAATCTGGATATTTGTTGATTGTTCAGATTGTAATTTATCTTGGAAGTTGGTAGTCTTCAGCAGTCTAGAGCCAAGTTTTAGACTTGGCTCATGATGGCCTGTGCATTTTAGTTTCTGTTAATCTCATGCATGTTATTAAAGGGAAGAAAATATGTACATTATTTTTCTAATGCTTTACAGCTTTTGTTGGCCACTAGAACTACAGCAGATGAGCTAGTTTTAATTCACTTCATCCACAAAAGATTGTTTTTGAAGATGGTAGAATAACTTCCTGCAAATAAGAACATTGTCTATCTGGTCTTTGTGGAGAACAAGATCGTCTTACTGGACATTGTACCATGGTGTATTCTTTCGGGGAAATCGCATGTAAGTTTCTGGTGTTAGCAGATTCTTTGATGGCATTTAAGTCATTGTACGCGACCTTGTTCTCTCCGTAAAACCGACGAATAGCAAAAATTTAGACGCTGCTTTGCATAATTACTGCAGACGAATGTGTTTGCTAATATGTGCCGCTGCTTAGTAGAAACTCTGATGCGTGGCAAGTGACATCAGAACTACCATATATTTTCAGTGCCTTACTTTTGTTTTTTTCCTCTGGCCGTGTTCCTGAATATCAGGATCCAAGCGCTGTTATTATCTTCCTTTTTTTTATAGCTCCAGGATTGCTTCTAAATTGACAAGTTGTGTTTGCTCAAAAATGATGCTGGCCATTATGTTGCCTTTGTACGGATGTAAATGAGGCTGTGAATAGTGATTAGCCATACGTAGTGAATGTGCTCCTCTGTGCTTGTATTCTTGGGAACATGCTTTCTTGCACATCTGTGGCATGTTAGTCTGCACTTTTTATTCTTGGTGTGTCCAGGAGCAGTGAACAATTGTCCTTTCTTGCAGTTCACGTTACTGCTTTTGCTTCTACCAGAAAGTTCGATTGTAGCTTTTCTTCAGCGTTTGCAAACGTGCCTGTCATAAAAGAGATCTCGTTGATATCAGAAGTGAAGCATATTTGAATGGTAAAGTACATTAAACCTCAATTAGTTATTGTTAAAAAAATGTTTATCTGTGGCCACACTAAGTGAAATGTTTATTGCCAGCATTAAGAAAGGCTCGCGATAGGTTAATCACTGCAAGCCACGTTACTGAGGCTGAACGAATGCAAGATGAAGACTCTGGCATGGTTGAGACACACTGCTTCTTTATGCATACAGTGAGTCGAGGAAGGCCGAGAAAAAATGGGAGAGGGGAAAATAAAGTCTTGCATATAGCTCTTCCTTTTAGGCTCAGCTTTCCATGCTGAAGTTTTTGTATCAACTCCTGCTATCCCTGTTGCTTGAGTGAAGGCATGCACTTGATAGTGTGCGAAGGTGACACCTTGTGGCTGCTAGGACTTCTGATGAGCCTGCTGTCTCATTCCTGCTGTGTCACTTGTTGCATATGAAGAGCATGTCAGGCTTGTGCTTGTCCGCTTCCTTGTGCACCTTCAGCTTAGGATGACTTAGGATAAGCTAATGGTACACACAGCCTGAATGCACTCTGGACCTCTTGCTTAGGCACCCCTCACTTAACCATTTTCAGAAGTCTTTATGATCCATTTCATGCACCTGTTGAGCACTGTATGTGTAGCTTACCTTTATGGCATGATTTGATAGTTGCCGAGGGTGCATTGAGGTGTTTGTAGAATCTATGCTATCAGTGAGTAATGCCTAGTTTTCGAACGCTGTTGTGGCCATGTGTACATTTGTAGGAGATTTTTATTTGTACTCTTCGCTGAAGCTGAAAGCATTATGGAGGAATTGAACTCCCTCATCATGAGGCAGGCAGTGTAGGGTGTGTTTCGAGAATTTATGCATCATCTAATATGCAGATCAACGTGTGTTTATGTAGAATTCTTTTTTTTTTTTTTCAAGTGCTCTAGGGAGTTTCTCCTGCCTCATGTCAGAAAAGTCTAGAGGGGATCAGACCCGCAAGTATTAGCGTAGACATGTGTGTTTGTTTACTAACAGGCCATTTGTACTAGCATTTTGGTTACACCCATTATGCAAAAACTTAAAACATGTGTAAGTGTTTCTCTTATATCAATAAGAATGTATCATCAAATATAATGTTAACAGAAAGTAGCTCCTCGAAAAAGCATTTGCGTTTTCCTGCCTTAAACAAGCTGGACAACAAATGTTTACCGTTTGGTGCATGCTGTGCTTAGCAGAGATTTTGATTTCAGGGCTTCGGACTGAAAACAACAGCGAGGAGTTCACCAGGTTCCTCAAAGTGCTGAACGAGTATATTCAAGAACACCAGAGACGAGACCAGAAACTGATGGCAATCATCACGCGCGTCTGCAACCTGTTCAAGATTTGAACATCGACTGCACTTTCATTTGTCACCTTTTTCGTCATCTCTTCCTCGCTCTGTTTCACCATATGTATTTTTTTTGTTCACTACTTCGCCAGACAGAGCACTCTTGTATTACCCTTTCATACATTTTGCTCCTCGCAGAATTTTTCTGCTTGCAGTTTTGGTCATCCATGGAAATAGTGTACACAGCTTTCGATATGCTCATCGCTAAGCCATCCCCAAGAAAACTGCTTCCGCACCTGTTCACAAGTTTTCTCTGTACTTATTATATTCTCATGCTCAATCGGTAACTGCAAAACTACCTTGACTTGTTTTCATTCAATTCTCCTTGTCGTCTTTGATGAACAACTTTATAACGTATTTTAGTCTCTGCTCCCGCGTTACAAGTGCTCGTGGTTTTTCTGTCACTTTCGTCTGTGGTGGGGCCAGCTGGTTTGTCTGTTGATTATTGTTACTCTTTACATTTTTTTGTTTTTACTAAGAAAAAAAAAACACTTGCTGTTTTTTTATAATCATCACATCATTGCCCATACTCATGTAACTTTTTGTTATGCCATGTGCATTATTAGCTTGGCATTTGCTTTTTTTGTGCCCTCATTTTTATTACCATATGAAATATGAATTCTGTGTGTTCTGTTAATTTCTTTTTGTTTTAGTCAAACCAAAAATGCTTGGTGCCATAACGTTCTCGTGTTCATTTACACTACATGAAGGCTGTCAATTACTGGCACTTGTCTATTTAGCATTTTTGCATAGTTCCACTGTGGCATTATGGTCATCACTGCTCTGTTTCTCACTCGTGTGTCTGTTTCTCACTCGTGTGTCTTGCTAGCAAGCTGATGAGTCTTGCTGCGGAGGGAAACACCAAGATGCATTAAATCTTCATCTCCTGCGTGGATCTATTTATAATTTCAGCCATTGATGTTTGCTCTTATAGCTTTATTTATTGTTGCTTTTGTTTACACATTGTGAAAACCCAAATTTTAACGTAGCACTTCCAAGAGATACTGTGTTTAGAATGTGTCGGTATCCTTGATTAATGTACTTTTCAGCATTTTGCATTTCACCAATTCTGTTATAGCTACGTAGTTATAGAGAGGAAGGTTTGTGTTCGGCCTATGAAAATGTCTTCCCGCCTCACAGAGGAAGCACGCCTTGAAGAAAGTGGCAATGTAGTTGTCTTTTAGCTTTTTTGCCCTGCTAATTCTCACAATTTCAACAAAACTGTTGCCAGCATTTTTGTTTACCTTTTTTGTCAACATGTACGTTCTTTGAAATAAAACAGTGAATAAAAAAGACGCCTTTCACCTGCGTGTTAATGCTTTGTCGTCAGAAGGTAAACGGGACATGGCATTTACACTTCATACTTTGACATTTGAAAAATCTCCCAAGAACCTGGGTGGAGAAGAGATCGCTCATAAAGCACAATTTAAGGAATTGCTGCATTTGCAGTTTTTCTCCATGAAGGTACTACAAGCATTCCCGGCTTTCTTGTCTTAATGGAGGAACCATAAGTTCGCCAATGCAGTAAAACAGTTAGGTTCTATGTTACTGCAAATGCTCGACACACCTACACGATTGAAGCACTTAGCAGTACAGCAGCATGTCAAACAATGTTTTACTGTGTGTGACTCATTACATTATTAGTACCTTCTTCTACTCCAGAGCTGAAAAGGAAGAAGAAAAGGAAAGGATGAAGAAAGAGAAGCTGGAGAGGAAGCGCAAAGAGAAAATTGAAAAAATGAAACGTAAGGAAAAATATTCTCATTGTGTCAAAGCCTTTGTCTCATTAATCATATACTTCGTCGTGCAGAAACTCAAGTGGAAAAACGGATTTGCGAGCTGGATAGAGATATCAAGAATAGCCTCGGCATCAGTGGCAAGGTATGTGTGCCTAGTATCTGTGCTTCTATATGGAAGAAAGGCGTGAACATGCTATACACCACCTTTATACGTATTACACATTTATTGGTGTAAGTGTATACCAGAACATCCTTGTTCTCTGCATTCACTCTTCAGTCTTAACTTTCCACTTACGTCGTCACCTAACATCAGCAAACATTGCCATTTGAAAGAAGCCCTTTCCAGAAATGGAATCGCTGGTATAACTTGCTCCAAAAGAGAAATGCTGCTCCTAACAGTAATCATTTTTATTAGTGATTGCTTCAAAGCTGCTGTGAAATGAAGCTGAGAGAATACAAATGACGAGCTTTTACTGTTTGACTGATTAGTAAGTCTTAAATAAACTGAAAAAAATCTGCGTACTATCATTCCTCTGTGCTACTCGTGTGCAGCATTATCAGCTCTGATGCCATCTGTCACAGGAACTGACATATTAAGCATATAGCTCATTTGACGGCTTTTTTTTTTCTTGTCTAGGCATGCAGGCTAGTGTGGTGAAATCTGAAAATTATCAGGATTGCTTTTATCTCACACCACTTATGTACTGCTTATTTGGTAACAGTTATATGGGACTGTTTACTTTTAATGTGTGGCACGCAGCTTTTCTAGTTTGTATACTAGTATTTTAAATTGTAGCTCACTTCACAGCACATTTATGACAACCTGCCATTGTTTGCTTCATGAAATCTACATTGATTGTTGTCTGGTAGATATATTTCATAATAAATAATATTTGCGAGGTATGGCAATGCTTTGAACTACATTGAAGGTATGGCAAATTTAATATGTGCTCCTAAAACGCCTATAGCTGCTCTAAACTAGCATTTTTTTCTATCCGGAAGTCTTTATGGCTACTCAGAAGGAGTACTTTTCCTGCTCCAAAGTATACTCCAAAAGGTTAAAAAGTCGCTTCCATTGCTGCCTTTCTCAAATGTGGCCTTCCTGAAGTGAATTTTGTGTTGGCATTCAAGAAACACATCGATGCTGGTCTCACCAATGACTGAAATCATATTGCCAAATCTCGGATGCTAAAGATGTGCTCAAGACAAGTCTCATCTGTGTAGCTCCTGCAGGTACTTGTAAAAAAAAGAAAAAAAGGTGGTGATGTGTGGGCTACACTGCAAAAAGAAAACATACTGATACACGACAATCAACATCTGTCCTGCACGCTCTTTATTGCAGTGTTGGCACCACCTGATGCTTTGGGGTGTCTCGCTATAATAATCCTCACCAATGTTGCATACCTTTCCTTGTGTCGTTGCTACATGCGCAGTACCTCGAGGTCACAAATGGCATGTATGCTATGAACGTGACAGCATTCTTGATAGGGAAAATACTGTTCATTAGACAATGGCGTCATGTATATTGTTAAGTTCTGGTCATTCATAAGTAGTTCACTCTTTCAATTATATTTCTTTTCTACAGAATGTAGAAGCTGCCCTTCAAGCCTTCTGTGAACTTGACAAGCTGCCTCTGACGCATTCACTACTTTTGAAGGAGCAAGACATCATTCACACTGTGAAAAAGGTGAGCACAGTCATGCCATTAGTGAGAGGAGCGGTAGCTATTTACAATGTCTCACAAAAAATTACTTGTATTCAATACAGGTACAATAGTGTTAAGTGTGTAATTAAAGCAGTGTACTTAAATGATTATAATTATTGATTTGTACGGGTCTCTGGAATTCTCAAAGCTATACTTTATAGACTTGCAAGCATATGGAAGCACATAATTCTGCTTCAAACAGATCTTGCTGCTGTATTCTTACAGGCAGAAAGATTTGTGAAAATTGCAACACAAAATGAATGATACCTTGTATTACCGTGTTCTTGTTAGAGATGAGTAGTAGATTCACTCTTGGTTGGCACGCTGTTAATTTAAATTGGCAAGGGCAGCTTGCTGCGATAGATTAGCAGCCACAGCATTGCGCTTCCGAGCACAATGACATGGCTTCAATTCCCAGCTACCATCGCTGTGTTTCAATAAAGGTAATGTGCAAGAACAACTGTATAGTGTTCACATATTGCCGCTCGTTAAAAATACTCTATAAAGTCAAAATTGCTCCAGATTGCGGCATCTGGCTTTTCTGGAACGTGAAGCCTCAGAATTTAATTTACGTTTAGATAAGCAATGTCAAGATCATTTCATCGGCAATAGGGAAATAGTTGTCTTCAATTTGTACATTTATCAACTCTTTTGTCCCCATGAGTCTTTCTACGAATGCAGCCGCTCGAATTCACGGTGCAATTGCATGCTTTTGCGTGTGATTGGTTTTTCCTTTTCAGACTTATGCCTAGAACTCATTCAAAGGCAGTTCATCAATATTATCACTACTTCAATAAGGCTTTTCTTTTCCTTACCAGTAGTTGACTTTCTTGCCTTCATTCATTTGTTTTCACCATGCCAAGAGTTCTCAGGTGGTCTAATACACTTGCTCATCATACCATTTGCACCATTATTGAATACTAAGGCATAATTATAGTGCTCAGCAGCCTGAATTAAGTGTTCGTTGCACTCTCAAAGGTCACCTCCTTGCTTCATTGTTGCCCTATCTCTACCTCACAGTTAGGGCATGTCAATTAAAGGCTTTTGGAAAATTTGCTGAATTCACCTCCACTTGTGCATATTTTTGCTCCAGTGCACAAAGTTCACGGGGGACGATAGAATCAAGAAAAAGGCGGAATACCTCCTGAACAAGTTCAAGAACATGCTTATTGTGCCGACAGCCGAGGCTGAGACGGTGAGACGTGGCTTTGTTTCGTGCCCAAATTTTCATGCACACTCTCGCATGACCAGTATCAGTGGGCATAATATGATAAAGTCTGCGACGGAATTGAGGGTAAGGTCAAGGGCCAGTTTAACAAACACCCCCTCCCCCCCCCCCCCCTTTTTGGACAAAAAAAAAGTTGTGGAAGGTAAGTGCTTGCTATTCGGCCAGTTGGTGCATCATGAATTTCAAATACAGATTGCCAGCAAACGCACAAAAACATGTAAATAAGTAAACAAAAAGAAGGCGATGCACACACATGAATGCTGGGCTTTCAACTGTGCTTTGTTTGTGTGAGAATGCACATGCATGAAAAATCTTGTGTGACTTTATATGTTCAAATAAAGCACAGTTGAAAGTCCAGCGTGCATGCGTGTGTACTCCCTTGTGTATGCGTTTTTGTGTATTCGCTGGCACACCTTCTACGTAAAGGGTGAAAAAAAAAAATTGAAGATTAGAAAACACTGTACTTCTCACAACCTGCTTATGGTTTGGTCCAGAAATGCAACACCAGGGGCCCTCAGCAGCCATTATACTCCCAAACCTCAGTATTATGAAGTTGCACCTGAACGAAATTAAGTTCGTTGTATGCAAGAATTATTTATTTAATTAATTAATTACAAATTCTCGCATACAATGAACTTAATTTTGTTCAGATAGTTGTATATTCCTAACACTATCTCTTGCAAGAGTATCCTTTATTTAATTTGTTATAACCAATATTTTATCATATCTGGGTTCGTTACATCGAAGTTTGAATGTAGTCAAAATCTGCAGTATACCTGCACCTTAAAAAATGACAGAACAGGTCGGACTAAGTTAATTAAAGGCAGACTTGATGTCCTGCTTAGATGATATGGGGGTGGGTTGGTGTTCCCCCTGCGTGCACACCTATGCGGGGAGCACACATAACTCTACTACTATGTGTAATCTTCGTAAAGTGAGTAGGCTAATTGAGCTGGAATGGCTACTGCCTCGACCAGCACATCTTGCTCACATGTGACACAGCCTCACAATCAAATACGTATTAAAGAAGAAGCTTTCTAACTTCTGCTTGCATTCTCTACCAGAGTTGGGACAATGAAAGTTTGCAGTTTGATGTGCGTTGTATGCGTGCATGTTCCTCTTGTCGTGCTCGTTAAATTAGAAACCAGTTGTTCACTCCTATTTTTACAGTCTGTAATACTAGAGACCTTACTGTGCATAATTCTTAAACATTACATATTTGTCACTATCGGTGCCTTGCTTTTTTTGCCTGGCTGCAACAATTTTACGGCCTTGTTCGCACATCTTTATCATTCTAGGAAACATTAAAGGGGCCCGGCAACACTTTTTGAGCATGGTCGCAAAAAACTGCTGATGGGTAGTTGAGGCTCCCGAGAACATGCGAGCCAAATGTTGTTATAGCGCAGCGTGGGGCTTGGAATCCACACTAAATTCTTAAAGTCAGCTAAAAATTGCTTTCTCTTCTCTCGACAAATGATGGAACAAGCTCAGAAATCACTCGTCACAGCCATTGTATCAGCCATTGGCTGGTTTGAGCATGGCACGTTCGGTCGTTAGTGGGCCTGCCGCGGGAGGCCGCAACTCATCCACAAACATGTGCGCGACCGCCCTGAAGAGCCACTTATTGTGAAAAGAGAGAGAGAGAATGTGCTCGAGGCCACGAGGTGCATGTGGCTTTTTTCTATCCCCATGCCGCCCCTCCCTGCATAACTTCTAGTGCTTTCATCGGGACGAGAGAATGCAATTGCAGCATGCGGCGAACCTTTGTAACTCCGCTAGTACTGGACGAATTCTAAAAATTATTGCGGCGGTGAATTCGTGAGGGTCCTTTATTGAAGCTCCGTTTGAATATTATTGAATAAGTTCATTTATTGAATTCATTCGATGGCTACTTTAAAAAGTGTGGCTGGGCCCCTTTAAAAAGTGCTTGTCTGCCTTTTCTTAAAAACAAATGTATATCTATGCATCAAGACCCTACAGTGATAACCCATCTAAGAGGTATCTAATCAATAATGTTACAGTCATACATTTCAAACATTAAAATCGTTGATTGATTGTTTCCAGATGAAAGAGCCAAGACGGCATTCAGAGCATAAGGACCACAAAAAGACTGAATCAGCTAAGGACTGTAAGTATTAGCACGTAGTTTATGTGCACTTGGCTATTTCCTCTTTTTGCAGTGGTTAAGCCAACCATCAGTCGGCATAATGTTGAGTGGTGTTACATTAACAACATGTATTTATTAACAAATCAATCTTCTTATGCTTAGAATGAAAATTCTCGGGCAATTGAGTCCCATTGTCATCATAAGCTTGCAAAGCCGAAATATTAGGACATTGGGCAGCAATGCCACCTTGGCTATGTCTGAAAGTACTGGCTGTTGCGTAACTGTTAGGAATGACATCTTGATGCAACATGGTGTACATTGAAATGTGGCTCTGTAATTTGGCTATTAATTTTTAGTTAATCAATTATAGATGTTGTTTGCTGAAATTTGATTTAGTGAGAAAAATAAATTGATGCTAGCCGTAAGGGGGGGGGATTGAAAAAGTGACATGTCTTGCGTTCAGATGCACGTTAAAGAATTCTAGGTGGTCTTCAATAATCCAGACTTTCCCGCGCCACGGCATGCCACATAATTATGTTGCATTTTCGATGCATTAAACTCCAGTAAATGTGGGGTAAAACTTCGTAGTATAACATTTGGTGAGCAAAAGAAGACGTGACTAGGCTCAAGGATGTATCTTCAGGTGCACGACCGGGTTCACGAGACAGCTCGTAAAGGTTTTCTCATTGTGATGAGCATACTGAACTAGAGCAATGAGATCACTTAGCGCGCAAATTTCTGCACTCCTTCGTCATGTTTACACCGGTGTAACTTGTGCGAAGACCTTTATTAACATGGTCTTTGTGGTCACTACCCAGATCTTCTGTGGCATTATGATGTATTAATCTTTTTCTTTATCTCTCACCGAATTGCCAAGCCTTAAAGCCTGTGACTGAGGAGGAACATAGTGACAAGCAGGAAACTACAGCAAAGACTGAGAATGTGCAACCCAGTGATGACAAGATGTCTGCTGACTCTCATTGAGAAGTGTCAACACCACCATGTAGGCCCTCGCGGCTTTGCAAGTTGATCGTGCTGTAGCTTATGTTTTGCATGAAATGGACTCCTTGGGTGAGAAGGCATTGTACAGTTTGCATGAATGAGAATCGTCTATGTAATAGGGGAGAGTGAATGAACTTTATTTGTGAAGCATTGTTGTAAGGTGTAGCACCGTAATAATACTTTGTTGCAAAGCCCCATCTTTCAATAAACTGTTCCCATCATTTAATACTGTAAAATCGGAACAGGTGGAAAATCTTGTTTTCAGCGATATGGCTAGTTGAACTGCCTGGAATACGTTAGTTCCTTTTTAGATGCAATGAAACTTGGTTGTTGTTAATTAGAACCTTATCAAACATTATCAAAAAGATTGCCTATTGCAGGCATTAATTATTTGTCTTAATACTCATAATTTCAAAGAAGTACATGGGTATTAGAGTATTACAGTTGATTAAGCATTTTTGCTAACTTCGTGAGATGTGGTTTAAAAACCAAGGTTTTGCTAACTGAAAGGGAGCAGAAGAAAATTTTGCCCATTTCTAATGAAGACCCCTGTTAACACGAAAGCCAAGTATTGGATTGCTTGCAGCAGGAAATTCATGATTTCATGTGAAACAGAAAAATGTAGCTTGAGATCTGCTCCTCACTGTCATCCTAGATTTTGTGGATGAAAAGCAGGTTTAGCAGGTATGTTAATTGTCGTACTTCATTAACAGCTGTTGGTGGACGATCTCTCTGATGATGTGCCATAGCGTGCATGCATAGATGCTGTCGCCACAGGATGCTGCCATGTGCTAGCACCTTGTAACTCTGAGCCTGAAGTAGCTGTCAATGCGGTAAAAGAAGAAAACATGAAATACTAATACCGGGACACATTAGATAACTTGGGCTAAAGTTGCCCCACTTCCCTCCCCCCTCATTATTCTGGAACCTCCCCTGGGTCAGAAGAATTGTGTATTACTTGATATTACCCTAAAAAATGCAATTCTAAAGTATGAGGGAAAGATAATGGTTATCTTTCTAAACCATTAGTAGGGTTACTGTTTGTGCTAGTAAAGATAGCTAGCTTTAGTGCTGAATGCCAAACTAGCTATTGAAAGTATTGCTATAGTTACTAATAGCTATCTATGCAGTAACTGTTAGAACACGTTATTGCTCCTGAAACACAATTTCACGCAGGGGCTTCACCAGAGCAAAGGGGCATGATTGGAGCCGTTGTGTTGTGCGCACACTCCTGAAGCATTCAACTTTGCTTGTAACCTTTACGTTCACTTTGCAATGAAATGTTTGCACACACACGTCTGCTCAATTTTCGAATCGGACAGCAGTGTCCTTGCAGTGACCGCTATGGACTGCCGGAGACTTTTCCTTTCTCACAGGTTTACGATAATATCCAGCAACACTAATGTGCGCATGCACCGAAAACTAGTCTACTTCTACAAGATATCGTGTGTGGATGCAATAGCTGTGAGAACGTCTTCGGGAAGCTGCCCATGGTGGGATTTGTACATCCTATTGGTCAATAAGGCACGCTATCTACGCTAACGAATGAACAGGCCACGTGGAGCATACGTCTTGTTTTCTTCGAGTGGTGCATTCATTTTCTAGCGGTATAGCGGCGGATTATTTTGTGTGAAACTTTTCTTGAAATTTCTGCCTTCTGCACCTTATTATACTCAGCGACACCTTTTGACATTCAAGCGAAGGCTCCAGAGACAGGGCTTCCGCACATTCATATTGCTCCCCAAGTAGTCTGGAAGCTTGTGGCTGATATCAGTTTTGCTCGCTTGCAACATTAAGGTGTTTAGAAAAAAATTATGTACACAAAATTGTGAATGGGTAAAACATTTCGATGGTTCAGTGTATACATGCGAGTGTCATATTACGTGTATATTTCTCCGTAAAGAACTGAATGGCACGTTTGCAGCCGCACATTGAACTCCTGCGTCATGGACGCCAAGGTTTTTTTTTTTATGTATGGGCTAAAAATGTGGTGCTGACTAAGAAATCAAAACAAAAGGATGGCAAAGTGAGCAGTAATTTCATCAGTAATAATCTGACGACTTCCCACAACTGAGCGAGTCTCATAATAAAAGCAGCATTTATTTAGCAGCAAGGCAAATGAGAAAATTATCATTAAACTTGAAAGGCCCCTAAGGCGCCTCCCTTATTTTTGCAAACATTTCAAGTAAACATGCGCTTAGTGCTGTCACGATCAACGATGCCATACGTGACAGCACAACAAGCCGCGGGCGTGCCACAAGTTCCAATAATCCTATTCCTCTCCGGGCCTTTCCGACCTTTGCGACAGTGTCGCCGCACGGATTTATGTATGTTGGCGATCCTTTGAATGCACGTGCACAAGACATGGTCCATACCGGTGTGATTCGTGGAAGCACGGTCAGGGAGCGGCAAGAGCAGTTAGCCGAAAAGCACAGAGTTGGCGAAGTCGCGACAACCGGAAGTAGACGGCATTTGGAACTGCGCATCAGTGATGACGTATGCCATGTAAAGGTAAATCGAGGCTTTTTAAACAGCTCTGAAAAAGGCAGACAAAAGTCTGAAAAGCTCGGCACGCGGGCACAATTAGAGGTTGTTTAACCTTGAGGTACAAAAAATTGTTCGGAAGAGAAATATTCACAATTTTGCTATGTGAACATGCTGCCGCAAGAACTATGCGAATACAGGCTATAATAAGGAAGATAAAGCGGTTAAAGATTCTTCTCAGCTGGTTTCAAATTTTCACCTGGCCTCGCCATCTTTATCCGCCACAGGAAGAGGGAAGGCATAGCCCGTCGTCGTGACTCCGCCCACTTCGGCAACACGACACGATGTCAGCGACATGTAATTGGCATGCAGCCAACAACCGAGCAGGGCATCCCCGACATAAGCACGTGTCATAGCCGCACGGGATCAAGGAGCACCCTTCTCCTAGCGATAAAGTAGCGAGATGCCTGTTGGAAGCTGTCGTTCTGGCAACACTGCTTCTCCCAGTACATAACTCGGAGGGAGGCACAGGAAAATGATAAAAATGACTATGTGTACTGTGCGGCCAGAGCTGCGTCACCGCAGGACAAAGGCGCCGTTTCGTAGAGCAAAGGCCCGATCGATGAGCTCACTATTTTGTCAAGTTTCCCGTGGTCTAGCTTGCGTCACTGCTCGTGCGAGGGGGATTGGATTTTAGGAAAGAGTTGCGGAGATTGTTTTAGGGGCGAAGCTCTTAAATGTCGAGGTTTGTCCGTTGGTGTTGTGCGCAGTGGCCACTGCTGAATGCCTAACTTTCGGATATTTGTGGGATAGCCCCATATGAGCTCGAATCCTGACCATAGACCTTGTCCGGGATGAGCATTGGTTGTGGGTCATAAATAGTCCATTTCATAGTATGACAAGCATCAGAATTGCGACCGACAATCCAGAATGTATATGCAGCAAGGATTTAAACGGCTCGCTATTGGGAGGGCGTATATGGGAATTAGATCGGTGAAAATGCGATCACATTGAGGCCACTACTATGTTGCGGAGGTGGGACAGGCAAGTGATGGAGCAGTTCAGTTGCCTATGATATGAGGTGAAAATGTGATCACATTGAGGCCACTACTATGTTGCGGAGGCGGGACAGGCAAGTGATGGAGCAGTTCGGTTGCCTATGATATGAGTTAAGCGAAGGGATGGGGGAACGGGAGACAAGAAATGGATTTTTGATACTAACTCACCGCATTTTCTCAAAACCAGTTTCTAGCCATGTTAAATGACCCGTGTTGTTTCCATGTTTGCCATTTAATTCTACTAGTGGAACGCAAGCTATTTTGTTTGTTTTGTGGAAATTCGCTCATCATGCATATTGATGTAGCCCGTAACTGTGCACTATTAATGATTTGCATATAATTTCTGTGAAGCTTCTGGAAAGGAGCGGATAAAGTACTGTGGAAGTTTGATTATTGGAAGCCCCAAGTGACATGAAAATTTGTACGGTTTTCTCGAGAAGGAAAGGATGTCACTTTCGTCTGGGTCTAAGGTTTGAACCCAGGGTCGAAACTTGTGGATTTCTTTACCTATGAAACAAACTATTAGGTTAGCGCCGAGTTCAGACTGGCACGGTGGATGGACGTGTTTTTTTAGCGCTCCTGACCGACTGTGCAGATAAGTGGTTTTGCATGTTTTGAGCTTGCCTTTATAATGAATGGGCAGCAGTTAAAATCTTTGTGGCACTTACATTGTACAGCTTTTCCGAGGGTCAGTCACCAGGTATTTACTAGTTTGTGCGTGTGTGTGTGTGTTTGTTTCTTTCTCTTGCCACCCTGTGGGGGAGGTGCACGTACATTAAACACGCAAATTTTTGTAGTAGAGCTTAGACTTTCTCTTTTTCGTAGGGCAGGGATCGTGTTTTGTAATTATCGAGTGAGACAAGTCATAAGGACAATTGGTGTCGTAAAGACAGTTAAAAAGGCTGTAAAGTGTTCAGGATGTGGGGTGAGTTTGAAAATGGACCCCAAGTGCAGGAGCAAATGGAGAGAAGGCTGACAAGAAATGTAGGCAATGTGTGGTCGAGGGAAAAAAAAAATAGATAAAACGATGGTTGCCCAGAGTGAACTGCTGATGAAAATCACAGAGCTGGAGACTGCGTCGGCGACAGAGCAAGAAAAAACCAGGGGCAATGGGAGAAAGGCTGAAGTCCGCCGAGGAAGCACTAGCCAAGGTGAACATAGGAGCGGCCGACAGAGAGAACAGTGGGGCATCGGCAACCAGAACGGCGGAGAAGAAAGAGCAAGCAAGTTTGGAAAAAGGTTCAGCCGGTTCGATTGTCACCAGGCCCAGCTTCAGTGAAGTAGTGGTGGGGCTGGGAGGGGACAAAGTAGCCAGCGTCACAGGTGCAAGTAATCCCCAGTGGCAGGACGCTACAGCATGTGATCATTGCCTGGGATTCGAGTTTAATTCGATGCGCAGAAGCAATCAAAGAGAGGGTAAGAGTTGACAAGAGGGTTGCAGTAGGGACGTTTTCAGGATGCAAGCTGGAAGCAGTCATGAGGCAAGCGAGCGCAAAACTCAAAACTACAGCTGATAGACGAAACCTCGTGATAATTTCAGGTGGTTTAAACGATGTCTCAAATGAAGATACGGCAGGACTAGCGACCACACTGGCGAAAGGGGTCGATGACATGCGCGCCACTTCTCCTCGGGTACAGGTAGTACAGGTACCGGTGCGTGACGGCTACCTGCAAAGAGCGGTTGTCAACGCAAACCAAGAGATATGGCGGATCAGTTGACAGAAAGCCTTTGAGGTGGTGGAAATAAACAGAGGTGCATAGGTGGGGTGGTTTTCAACGAGACAGAATTCACTTCGATGGGCGGCAGGTCATGAGATGATGGGTTGGCGACTTGCAGGGCGCGCTGTAGCTTTTCTGGGGGGCATGCGAATCCTTCGGGGTGCAGGATGGCTAGTAGCGAGGAAAACAACCAGGGAGACTCTTTGACAGGTGGTATGGACAGATACGATTCCGAAGTGGCACCAGTATAGGTAGAGTCCGGGGCAGAAATAGACGCAGCCACGAGTGCCGAGCCAATTCAGACATAGGGTATATTAACATGCAGGGTGGCAGGAACAGGCTGAAGTGGGAAGAGATAGAAGAACAGCTAAGGGAAGAGAGGCCGATGGTATACAGTTTTGTAGAAACACCTCTTAGGGACATGGAACAACCTCGTAACAATCCGGACTACGCGTGGGAATATTGTAATAGAACAAAAGGGGGGTGATATAGGGGCGTTCATTCATAAAAGGACAGACTGGCAAAGGGTCAAGGAGGAGTGCAAGGAACATTTATGGCTAGAAGGGAAAGTGGCAGGGCAAATGACACTCCTTGGTTTGGTGTACTTGTAGACGGGAGCAAAGGCCAGAGAGGAAAGCTAGGCAATGGTAGAGTGTATATCAAAAGACATTGAGAAGTTAGGAGGAGAGTGCGAGATAATTACACTAGGAGATATGAATGCGCACATAGAAGATATAGATGGGTATACCGACCCAACAGGCAAAATGATCATGGATATGTGTGAAAGGCATGATTTGATGATTTGTAACAGTACTGAGAAGTGTGAAGGGCAAATAACATGGGAGGTAGGAAGGCTGCAGTCGACGATAGATAACGCACTGATGTCACATAGGATGTATGATAAGCTCAGGGGAATGCACATAGATGAAGGTGGCTCCAGAAGTCTGGGTAGTGATCACAAACGTATCAATCTAAGTTTTGGAAGCGCAGTGAAATTGGGAAGGAGACGAGATGAGCAACTACAGGAAAATT